GGCAGTTCCTCACCACCATCAGCTCTGGGAGCTACCAGGAAGTCCACAGTAGCTTTGTGGCAGACTTCCTGGACACAGGGGAGCCAAAAATCACTCCATCAGTCAGAGTGGAACAGCTGATGGCGGTGAACAGAGCAGCAGCACCTGACCTCACAAACTGAGAAATGTATTCTCTTCCATCTTGCAGGCTGCATCGTCCACAAAGTCATCAAGTTGGCCAGCATCTGTGAAAAATGCAAAATTGCAACAGAGCACAATGATGAGAGTCCTTCTGGTGACAACAGCTTGTTAGTGGACTTGAAAGACTTCAAGGCAGGTGCTCTTTGTCGTCCCTCCCAAGAAGCCTTTGACTTCATTCACCAAATTGAGGAACTATTTAGGACCAAGACTGGTTCCTCCCTCATGCAGCTCCCCAACGCAGTGGTGTCTTGGAGCAAGAAGCTCAGGCCCTCTCCAGCAGGCTTCCGTCATGCTGTGGAGTACAACAAAAACTCGTAAAAAGATTCATACGGCTGAGGCTGAGAATTGAGGCCAAACAAATCAGAAATGACAGAAAACAAATTAAATTAAAAGATGGCCATTTTGGAAGCAAGAGCCAATCCAAAATGGTGAAAAGGAACAACAGCAGCCAAGCTCCAACATCCAGCAACCCCCAAACAGATCCACAGCTGCAATCATTTACATTAGCCGTTGCAATGGAAATATTTGGACTAAACATTGCTCTTCCACCTGCCAGCACCCAGCTAACATCACTGCCCCTCCACCCGTAACATCACTGCCCCTCCACCTGCCAACATCACTGCCCTCCACCTGCCAGCACCCAGCTAACATCACTGCCCCTCCACCCATAACATCACTGCCCCTCCACCTGCCAACATCACTGCCCTCCACCTGCCAGCACCCAGCTAACATTACTGCCCCTCCACCTGCCAGCACCCAGCTAACATCACTGCCCCTCCACCTGCCAACATCACTGCCCTCCACCTGCCAGCACCCAGCTAACATCACTGACCCTCCACCTACCAGCACCCAGCTAACATCACTGCCCCTCCACCCATAACATCACTGCCCCTCCACCTGCCAACATCACTGCCCTCCACCTGCCAGCACCCAGCTAACATCACTGCCCCTCCACCCATAACATCACTGCCCCTCCACCTGCCAACATCACTGCCCTCCACCTGCCAGCACCCAGCTAACATCACTGCCCCTCCACCTGCCAACATCACTGCCCTCCACCTGCCAGCACCCAGCTAACATCACTGCCCCTCCACCCGTAACATCACTGCCCTCCACCTGCCAGCACCCAGCTAACATCACTGCCCCTCCACCCGTAACATCACTGCCCCTCCACCTGCCAACATCACTGCCCTCCACCTGCCACCACCTGCCAACATCACTGCCCTCCACCTGCCAGCACCCAGCTAACATCACTGCCCCTCCACCCGTAACATCACTGCCCCTCCACCTGCCAACATCACTGCCCTCCACCTGCCAGCACCCAGCTAACATCACTGCCCCTCCACCTGCCAGCACCCAGCCAGAGGAGCGCAAACAACAAAAACAAGCAAGGTGTCCCGTCATGTACCTGGAAGTTTGGGTTGGCAAAATGGAGTAAGAGAGGGACTTGAAAACCCTTGGTGGCTCTCTACTCATGTTGTTACAGTTGTCTTGGTTACAGTTCTCAAGTTTTTTTTTGCCATTTCCTCATCTTTAGAAAATATGAAATAACAAATTTAAGTGAAATCAACTTCTTCTCTGGAGAACAAACTTTGATTTCTCTGTCTTGTGAGTTTGCAGTCTTGCAGTTTTGCTCCTCCACCTGTAACATCACTGCCCCTCCACCTGCCATACAGTAGGTTACTAACAAGATTACTTATATAATACAGTGATAGAATACATGTTTAGTATGCTTACTTATATAAAACAGTAGTATTAAACTTACCTTGTGTTTTCACTCTCACTTAAGTCCCTCTCCCTTTGCCATCAATCCAAAATCAGCTGAGCTGCAACATAATACAGACAGGTAATACAGGGTTGCCAACTCTCACGCATCTGGCGTGTGACACACGCTTTCACTCTCAATCTCACGCTCTCACGCTGCCCAAACTATTCTCACGCCAAAAACAAGATGAACCGGCGATAGTTTTTGGTTAGTTATTTACAATGTTGAGTTGACAGTTGCTCAAGCTGTCGATCCGCTCCCTCCCCGCCCCCACCACTCTTAACGATGTTAACAGACAGCAGAGCAGTGGGAGACGGTTGGTCAATCCCCGACACGTATTGCGCATGCGCAGATCTAAGATCCAGGCCAAAATAGAGTCAAAGGTATATGAGAGTGAGAGTGTGTTAATTAATATATTTGGCAGTTTGGAGTAAGTCTAGATTTGTTTGTGTGTGTGTGTTTCATGTATAGGCCTCTCACGATAATTAATTTTGTTGGATACATTTTCCCGGAAATTATTGCGATAAACGATAATATTGTCGGCACCGTTGTATGACCATTTTAGACCACTGACATAATGTTAATATATAATAATAATATAATAATGATAATATATAATAATATAATAATAATTCAAGTACATCCTTTCAAACTGCTAGTCACATCCCCATGTAAATGGCAATTTATCGAGTTCATTTTTGTTTATCGTACAATAAATCAATTAATTGCTTATCGCAACAGGCACACAATAAAACAGTGGAAACAAACATGTGTTTGACTTTCATTAGTGAATGAAACTTTGTGCCCTTTATAGTCTGTATCCAATAGTGTGTATTTGTATATATTGTATATATATCCTATATATGCTAAGGTCCCGCTACTGACACGAAAGCAGTCATTTATTGCGCATAGGTGTAATTAAACCCATGATATCAACATCTCACTCCAGCCAGGTACCCAAAGTTGGCAACCCTGGGTAATAATCAACATAATCACAAGGACACAATATGGCTCTGCTAAAAACACTCACTCTTACATGCACCAAAGTTATATTTATCTAATATTTAACTCCCTCCACCCCCGCATGCAATCCCGTTTAGAAGCCCCTCTTCTCTAATTCAACAACGTTGGACGAAATGACATTAAGAGAACGGAATTTACAATTAAAAGGCTGTTCAACGTCTGTTGCTAACTTGCTTCGGTATCCTAGCTTAATCTGTTATCTGTAAACGTTCCCTAAATCCAGGGGCGGCGCCAGGGGGGAGCTAGGGGGTGCTGAAGCACCCCCCAGGATTGCCAAAGCACCCCCTAAGCACCCCCAAGAAATATGTGTTTTTTTTTTTTTTTTCGAAAATTATTATTATTATTTTTATTAAATTAAATTAGAAATATTATTGATTACATCAATGCATATGTGAAAGAAACACATTTTTGACCAAAAACATAAAGCCAACACAGGTGATATGATTAGGCCAATGGTCAGCACCCATTCGATTTTTGACCTACCCATAGGCTAAATTACTTTGTGACACTTGATTGACTTCCTGTTAGCTAGAGCGCCAAATGATTTGCTAACAGCAAAGTGAAAAATTGATCGTTTTTTAGTCCTTAAACGTCCACATGTGGATACTCAATCAAAACCAACTGAAAGCGAGAGGGATTCTGCACATAATAGGCCTCGTGAGTACAAGTAGCTTACTTCTGGGTCTCTGTGTTTCATTCAAGCCCTGCTCTGTGTGTGAGTGTGTGTGTGTGTGTGTGTGTGTGTGTGTGTGTGTGTGTGTGTGTGTGTGTGTGTGTGTGTGTGTGTGTGTGTGTGTGTGTGTGTGTGTGTGTGCGTGTGTGTGTGTGTGGCACGAGCCATTTTGTGTGCGTGCGTGCGCGAGCGAGCGAGAGAGCTCGCCTCGCGCACCAGTGGGTATCTACCGGAGATCGTTGTGGTTAGCATCTGGTGCTAGCTAGCCAAGCTAATGGATATAAGGAGCTTTTTCAACAACAAGGTGGAGGGAGAACTCTCTCCTGTCAGACGGAGAGTCTCAGGTAACCTCAACTCAGGTGAAGTAAAGGACTCTCTCAGTGTTTAGATAGTTAACTTTAGTCTAGTTATCTCAGTGGGTCTCAAACGGTTTGTTTTAAAAGGGGAGTGATTTGTAAAATATCTATAAAGAAATAGAAAATCTGTTGACAGTTCTGTTTCGTATGGGTGTTGAGATGTATCCATAGATCTCTTAATGTTGCTCTCAAAGTGCACCAGATTGATGCTTTTAACTTAAATATGTAACAACAAATCTTCCCGGGGGAGCTAGCCCCCGGACCCCCCTAGAGGAGGTGAGGACCCTCCTAGAGGAGGTGAGGTCCGCTCCCCACTTGTAAAAATAGCACTTTACCCCTGCCTATATGCCGTGAGCTGATTATCGAGCCTTCATTGTAACAGTCGCGGGTGCACTGTGTGTGTGTGCGTGCGTGGGGAGTGTTGCAGTAGAAAATTCAACTGTAGCGCTGGTGCATTAATGGGAAACCCTAAATGTTTGAGCACCCTCTATGAAACGTCAAGCTACCCCACAGCACCCCCTAGAGAAAATCTCTGGCGCCGCCACTGCCTAAATCTACTAATTTAGGGATCATCCACTGACATCCTTTAATACACATGTTCAATTGAATCAGATGTACTGATAATATCCGCAATATAAATCTTTAAACTTCTTCTTACCTTTAAAAGTCCGTCACGAACGGTCTATTATGCTGCAACTCTACAGCTCTGCTAGCCTTGGCGCTAACTTCCGGGGAACGATTGAGAGGCTCCACGATCCGCCATTGCTGTATAAAAGTGGTCCATAGCTTGGTTTCACGTGACGTCACACCGTTGCGTTCCTTTGGCGCGAAATTCTATTGGAGGTCAGGAAGTAATTTTCTACAGAGGATCTAGCTGCTGTTACCATTGTGAAAATGCCGGTGTGTTATGTAGTTTACGGTTGTTCCAATCGATCCGGCCGAGAGAAAAACAAGAGGTTTTACCGAGTGCCGAAGGTTGTCGTCCATAAAGCTGAGCAATTTAAGCTAACCGAAGAACGCCGGAAAAAATGGCTTTCAAACCTACATCTGCGGTCGGGAGGAGCAGAGTCGTCTAATGCACGGGTCTGCAGCGACCACTTCATCAGAGGTATTAGCTAACTTGGTTTTTGTGGCTTTGTTTAGGTATTATTGGGTTGTGGTTAAATGCGTATTTACTTAGTAATACTGATCATGTTTAAGTTACCTGTAGTCTAATATGGACTTTGTTGGGACTTTTTAGGGTGCCCTAGCGCTTTGGGTGACGTTGAGTCGGTAGACTGGGCTCCCACTGTTAGCCTCGGTTACCACACAACAAGTAAGCCCAGATCAGAGGCATCTCTTCGACGAGAGCAGAGGATGGAGCTCAAGGAAGACCAACAAAGACAATCAGAATGTGCAGAGGCTTTGTTGGATCTCCGGCAGACAACCGAGAGCCCAGAACCGACGCAGCCCCCGTCTGACAGCCCCCGTCTGGTAAATTAACCACCAGCATTATTATTAAATATTACAAATGTGATTGTCAGAAAATCAATGCAAACTTTGAATTAGGTTTAGAAAATAGAGCACTAATTTGAGAATCTGCAATAATTGGAACAGAGAACTGGCATGTCTGTAAAAAGGTTGTCAAAAAGATAACTTCACATTCATATTTGACTATTTTAAATAACTAATTATGCTTGCTACTGCTATATTGTATGCAGATGCAGGATGCCAGACTGATTTAACGATGGAGGACATCGAGAGGATGGAGGATGTTCTGAGACAGAACACAACAGAGCTGGGAGATCTTCGGACAAAGGCACTGGACACAAAGTTCAACCAGGAGTCCTTTGAGAAGAACGAAGAGAAAACAAAGTTTTACACCGGGCTCCCCAACTTCTTAGTTTTACTTCAGGTTTTTCAACTGTGCAAGCCCTACATCACCTGTGGCCCTATGTCTGTGCTCTCCAAATTTGAACAGTTCATTTTAGTTTGGCTGAGGCTGAGACTAAATCTCCCTCTGAAAGATTTGGCTTTCAGGTTCAACATCTCTCTCTCCACTGCTTCTAGAATTTGGCATAAGTTAATTGACATACTTCACGAGAGTACAGAATTTATAATTGAGTGGCCAGAGCGACATGTACTTCAAGCAACAATGCCAATGGGATTCAGACAGGCATTTGGATGTAGAGTTGCTGTGATTGTTGACTGTTTTTATTGAGAGGCCCTCTAATTTACTAGCTAGAGCACAAACATGGTCCAACTACAAGCATCACCATACTGTTACATTTCTGATTGGTGTTGCTCCCCAAGGCTATGTTACCTACATATCTTGTGCCTGGGGAGGAAGAGTTAGTGATAAACAGATCACAATACAGAGTGGGCTCCTAAAAAACCTGTTACCTGGAGATATTGTCCTAGCAGACCGTGGGTTCGATATTGCCGATAGTGTGGGATTTGACTGTGCTTCACTAAAGATGCCTGCATTCACCAGGGGGAAAAGTCAGCTGTCAGCATACGAGGTGGAAGAGACAAGAAAAATAGCTAATGTGCGTATTCATGTTGAAAGAGTCATAGGATTAGTCAGAAGAAAATATCAGATTCTGCAAAGCAGGGCTGTGCCCATAGAGCACATGCTAACAAAACCAGGTGAGGCACTAGCATTAATTGACAAGATTGGGGTTATTTGCTGTGCTTTGTCTAATCTGTCAGTGTCTGTCGTCCCATTGGAGTAAAGTCATGGAGCTGTAGTCTTGTAAATAAGAAACCATGTATTATTCAGTATCATTTAATCTTTTCAGTAAACATCTTTTTGTGTTGAAAATTGTGTAGCCCTACTCAATATACAACTTTCATCTACATTCAGGCTTAATTCATTCAACAATATTCTAGAGATGACAATTGGTCTGGTGACGCTCCCATGTATGGCCATTGTAAATGTAAATAAGAAACCATGTATTATTCAGTCTTAGTATCATTTAATCTTTTCAGTAAACATCTTTTTTACAATAGCAATATATCACACAGCCCTACTTCCTCTAGTGAGTGTGGTCAGTGAATATGAAGGTGCTGTAATGCAGGTTAAAGAGCTGCCACTGTGCAAATGTTACGTTCCCTTGTAAATATAGGGGTACAAAGGGAAGTAGCGACACACAACATAACCGGCCGAGAGAAAAAGGAGAGGAAACTGATCTCTGACGCCATAAAGTGGTCTTTTAATTAACACAACGAAAAAGGGCTCACCAGCCAACTTGTCAAACAAAGCTTAAGATAAGGGGAGAGCGACTGCAACCTTCCTCATGTCCTATATGGAGGCGCTGATTGGAGATTGGGAGCACCTGGGGAGATCAGAGGGAGAGAGAAAAAGACACCCACACACACCCAAACACCAGCACCCACTACGGCACGTAATAATAATGCAACAAGGAGAGAACCACAACTTCCGGGACCAGGACAGACCACAGGTGCTGGTAATCACGCCTTCTCTCCCTCCTGATCATCTTGCAACTGAAACTGAAAAATGGAACAGCAGACAGGGAGAGGAGGCTTTTAGTCACCTGATAGTTATGCACTAACATGTTCTTGTGGAAAAAAATGAGCACACCAACTCTTTATGACTTTAACTTTCCCCTTGTAAGTTGCTGTCCCAACACTTCAGGGAGAACACATAGTCTGAAGAAACGCTCAACTCTGGGAATGATGTTGTCCCACAGGTCCACATCACGCACAATTCTCTCTACAAAGAGGTCATTTTTAGTCCAGACAACAAAGTCGCAGTAGTCAACATCAACGAGGTGGAGCTGAGCCTGTATTTGATGGTAGTAGGCATGTCTCCTGTCCAGCTTCACAGTGCCCCCATCGTTGACGAGACAGAAGCCCTGTTCTCCAGCACACAGGCGAAGATTGGCCTCCTCTTGTTTGCTGTGTGGGCACTAAAAGTTCAATGAAAAGAAAAGTAATATATTGTACTGTAAATAAGTGTCTGCAGCTCAAAATGTATTGGGAGAGGATCCCCAGACTCAGGATCACGTCACAATCCTATACTTACCCGCTTTACTGTAGCACAATACTGAACAAATAACTTACCTTTATCTCACAGATACCAGTTCCATGGCAGGTGCACGTGACACCTCCGTCTGGACACACACACACACACACACACACACACACACACACACACACACACACACACACACACACACACACACTTTTTATGCATTGAATATTTTGTGAATCATGTTTTGTAATGATAATGAATTCAGTTATAAGTTACTTGTACTGTAACTTACTGATATACGTGATATAATCAGCGTATACCACGGGTAGAATTGTAAGTTACTTTTCACAACAAGTCGGTATCCCTCCGCGTCTGAGAAAAACTGTATACAGTTTGCTTTTCTGATTGGCTCCCTAATCCCTAATAAATACCTTGTTGCAGCTGTAGAGAACTTGTATGCCTCTGGGTAGCATATGGACTTGATCAAGGACTTTGATGGCTGTGCAAGACTAGTCTGTAGAACCTGCTTCAGTCTTGAGGCTGTGATCCTTCCTGCTCTTTGGCTAAACCATATTGCTGATAAGCTCTGGTTTCTGGTCTCCTCCTCTACTGCCTGGACCTGTGGCTGTGTCAGCTCTTCCTGTCTGAAGTCCTGGCATGCATTCTGCAACTCTGTTGGGGATAGCATCTCTGGTGTCCTATACTGAGGTAGTGGCTTAGGTAGCTTGCTCACAGATTTAGGGACACATTCTCTGTAATATGGTTCCCTGGACATCAGTGCAGCACTTCTTGGGGAATTTCTGCTCAAAGTCTTGAAAAACTGCATATACCTCTCTGATCCTCGCTCCAATTTTGAACCCTGGACTGTGGGACGCTGAAATGTGTGCTTCTTACCTGTCCTTCCAGCAATGGCATCATCCAGTTTTTGCTTTTTGGATTTTGCGGATGAAAAGTCTATCATCGCAACTGGAGCAGCAGGAATGTGCACATGTGAGAGACAGACCAACATGTATGTGAACATACATGTAGGTGCAGTGTAACAATGAGACAGGCAAGGACGGCATGAACAGCTGACTGACCACTGGGGTCTGAATACCTTTTTGACATGTGATGGCATTAGCCACTTGCACTTCTCAGTGGTGCAGGATGCAGTCTCTCTCATCTTCACACCTGCTTCGATTGCAAACAGAACTGCTCCAACATGTGAGCAGGATTCTGACAAACGGTATAGACAGAGACATACTAGAATAACTAGATTGATCGTAAAAGCTAGTAATGGTATAACATGAATATTATAGCAGGCATTATTTTGTCTGAGCTTAAGTGTTGTGTCAAATATGCTTTGGGTTGGGATATTTATGTTATGACTCACCCAGCCATACAGTTACAGTGTGCTGTAACAACCTCTCCATCTTCTTTAGCTACAATCCACGTTTTTAATGGTGTTTCTCCAGACCTCTGGGAATGGTTGACCTACACAATTGAAGCTCCAGTTCACAACTTGCGAGTTGGTAACATACATTTAACAACATCACAAGCAACACATAACCAGATGGTCTTGGTAAAGAGGTTGTTTTTAATATTAACCTCAACATAGAGTGATATAAACAACGTGCAGGCTGTTCAAAGGCTCTGAGCTGTCTATACACACAAAACACAATATATCCTAAGCTAAACACATAACAAACATACACACACAACACACTCACAGGCCAGTTAATGCTGAAGGCAAGGCGACAGCCGTAACACTGCCTTACATGAGTCCATGTAGCTAAAGTTAGCTAGCTAGATGTCTCCTAATAATGCTACTTAGAGGTAAGAAGGTATAGGTAGTTAACACTCACCCGGGCAAAAACAAGGCGACATTTGTTTAATGCCTCTTTGGTGCCGAGGTCATTCACCCATCCACACACGAAGTAGTTGAAAGCTTCCAGGCTTTTATACGCTTTCATCTGGCTAGCCGTGTAGTAGGAGGTATGAAGGACGAGGTAGCTGGTGATATCCATCGCCTCGACAGCGGGCAAATCGGATAAATCACGAGAAAAGTCGTTTTTTTTCAGCTGATACGGATCGTATCCGATGTGTGCTGTGATTTTTTCACGATATCTGCGGCGTGCAGGTTCATTTAATTGTTTGACATAGTCGGTGTCCTCCATGATTCCTGCGTTGATGAATGATTGCGTTTTCACTTCCTGACCTCCACTTGAATTTCGCGCGTCATAGAAGTCACGTGACTGAAACCAAGCTTTGGAGTGAACGGAGATGACGTAACTCTTCTATTATATGGCTCTGGGCCAACCATAGACTGTATATATAAAGGGGCCAACCCATACAGTGGTGGGGCTCAAGTCAGTATTTGAAATGTAATTACATACACGCTATATCGCCCCCTTGACAGTGAAACGCCACGCGGGAGGTTTAGATTATTTCCCCGTCTCAATCCAAATGGAACTGTATGAAATCAAAAGGCACATTTGTCTTGTAGTAAATAAAAAGGGCGACCTGGAGCCAATCCTGCAACTTCCCCACAGGTGAAAGAGTTGCCATCCTGAAAGCCCAACCCCTGCAGGGGGGTCTGGGGGGATTCTCCCCCAGGAGATCTTTTGAAATACTAACATAAAATACCCATTCTGGTACTCTCTTGAGAAGAGAAATAAATACATCTATTACTACACGACATATTTAAAAAAAATGAATGCCATTTTAGTTTGTTGTTACTTTGTTCTGAAAGCTGAACCTGCTGCTCCTCACAGAGAGGAGAGAGGAGAGAGGAAAGAGGAGAGAGGAGAGAGGAGAGAGGAGAGGCTGTGAATGACTTTACATTGTGGATAAGGGTGGATAGATGGATTCATGTGTCAAAATGAAAGACAGCCCACACACATATCAATCATCAAACCGTGGGGTCTTATTTCATTACGTAATGTTGTATCGATGTATATAGAGATGTACTACAGCAAAAGTATTCTCCGTCGGGACTTCCTGCAACAACACCACGCCGTTATCTTGATTCTGATTGGCCAGAAGACATTATCAAAGATGTTCTATTGAGAAGACGATCACTACGTGACAACAGTTTTCAAAACCGTTTCTAGTCTTTGGTATTCTTGTTTTGGCGTGAGAATAGTTTGGGCAGCGTGAGAGCGTGAGATTGAGAGTGAGAGCGTGTGTTTATATATACAGTCTATGGTCACACGCCAGATGCGTGAGAGTAGGCAACCCTGTTTTATGAGCTCAATATGAAGCTACTGTAACTACCATACAGCTAGCAGCCGTTAGCTTAGCTTAAAGACTGGATTCAAGTAGAAACAGCTAGCCTAGCATGCGTGTTGTTTTTGTATGAAACAAGATATATAGTTCTCATTGTACTATGCTACACATTGAAGACACAGCATATCTCTAGCTAGCATGTAGCTTCAGGGGAGTTGTGGCAATGTAAATATAATGTCTGACCTTCTTTCAACATAGAAAACAGCATCTGCTCATCTTCCTGCGGACTGAAATCACCTGTTTCCACTTCATCTGAACGTAGCATCTGAACATACAAATGATGTGGCTAACTGAAGCTGATTGATTGAAAAGTGTATTAACAGCTTGTATATTGGGTACAGTACAGTACAGCTCAAAACATACAATTGTTAAGGGGATGCAGACCAGAGAAAGACTTTCGTCTTGTTTACATCAGGGTCCCCCATTTCCAATTCATCATGTCATTTAAGACATATAAGACATATAAGACATATAAGACATACAGATGGCTTATTTACAATTTACATACAGGTGGTTTTTTTACATACAGATTGCTTATTTACAATTTTCATTTTAGATTT